AGATGAAAGAAAATGTTTTTCTCCCTGAGTCTGGCCTTCATAATTCCATTCCATCACAAGAATGACCATCTCATGCTTCTCACACTTGAGACTAATAATTACCAGACAGAAGTAGAGTTGTGCATAATGAAAGAAATAAAAAAAATCCAAAATCATCACTATTCTATGGATCTAAAATGAGGTGGTCCTCCCCTAATATTTGATATTCTGCTTTGCAGTAAATTTATTGTTTTTCCCTGAAATAGGATCAACAGGTCCTTGAAAGCAGTACCTCATATCCAGTGTAAGATTGTGTTGAATATTCAAAGTCAGAATCAGGCCCTCCAGGACAGTATCTGCATTTTCAAGAGAAAAATGAGATCATAGCTAGAGGTTAAGTATATATTTAAAAGCAAGGACTGGCAATCTGTAGTCTGTGTATATTTATCAGATGTTTGAAGGCAAAAGAATGAGCTGTTGCCATGAGCTTTCAAGACGGCCACTGTGGGAAGCAGGCTATTGGGCTGAATAGATCCAGCCCCTGGGCAAGCAGCAGGGGCAAAGGAATTTGATTTAGGCTACCAAACAACTCCAAGACAGAAGAAAGAATTGAACTAGAGACCCTCCAGTTCAAACAATGAACACGGTTATTTGGGTCCTCAGATGTACTAGAAAAAACAACCCCAACATTGTTTCATTAACGGTCAAGTTGGCAATGAAGGTTGCTAGAAGAGTCCCTGGCTGCATTATGCTACAGCGTAATGTGGTTTCTTTGGTACTGGCTCAAGGTGCTATGTGCAACAGCCATTGCAGTTATAAACCATGGTGAGTGGCTTAATGTATGTACTAGAGAAACTATTGCTTAATATAATGTGCAAACCAAATCTATGTATAAATTGTTCCCAACTCCACAAACCAAGGGTCTATAGGCTGAAGTCCCAGGTCCATATAGATAATGGCTGTAGTTCTTCCAATTTTGCTTTTAAATTGACATGAAAATAATGTTACATTGAGGCTACGTCCTCTTACTCTTGTTATGCTATCAAATGCCAAGTATAGCCCTTTGCCTGAAAAAAGTTGTGCACCTGTGTTTAAAACAACAGGTACTATAATTATAGAAAAATAGGAAGATACGCACACATGTCTCATTTTAGATGAGTCTATAAGGAACAGTAAAGTCTCTCTATTATTTTAAAAGGGATATTTATAATGATTAGGAATTTAAATATTTTCCAATGAAGCTGAACACTTTAATGTGTACCTTCATATTTATTTCTCATTCTAGTTCAAAAGACACTAAAACAATAAGGATAAAAGTAAAATAAATTTAAAAAACCAAGAAAATTTATATTTTGGCTATGTATTTAAGATATTCTGACATATTATTAAGCATACTCACACACATATGTTTCCTGTGAAATTAATGTGTGGACATCTGTGTGGTTTGCACATTACTGCCACAACAGCAATCTGAAAGAAAGGAGTATTGCACAGAAGTTATTAAATATCTGGTCTTATATTGTACAGAGCAAATACATCAATCCACAGAATTTGAAGGAAGGGTTAAAACTTCTATTCTGTTCAGAACTCCCTGAACTACTCCATATTCACTTTGTTAACTTTTCCTGAAAATCACCAAAGGAAACTGTAACCATTTACTTAAGTCTACAGTTCTACAACCAGTTTTTTGAAACTAAGTACCTTAGTCTCAACAGTACTTATTTTTGAGCAGACGTGTGTAGCATTGTACTGTGCCTACTTCCCTGTAGATTAATTTTATTATTTACTGCCTTACCATTAGATGACAAATTACAACATTTAGCCAGTCTTGACTGATGTAAAGCTAACAAGGCTTGGTTAGTATTTGAATGTGACACCACTCCCAAGGCAATAACAATGGGAAATCTTTTGTGTAATGTTCCCAAGAAAACTATGTAGACCAGGAGTGAAGTTCAACCTGAGGAAGCCTTTCTCTTGTTTATCTTTTATCAGCAGGTACCCTTCTGAAACAGAGTCTCTCCAAAGATGGGCTGCAAACTAGAGTACTGCTGCAAGAAAACCTTAACTGCTCATGTGTTCAAATAGTAACTAATTATATTAGACAAACTTTGTCATGCTCTTAATCTTCTAAGACATACTTTCAGCAAGACAGTGAAGCAGTTTTGGACAGCTGGTGAGAATATTTTTTAAAATATATAAAGTATTTATTATTCCTGGGATGATAGCTTTCATACTTTGAAAACATTCTCCACTGAGAGAAACCAATTCTGCTGATGAAACAAGAGAAAGTAGGAAACTCTTTCCTGCACTTACAAAATCTACTCCAAAACTTCTCTGAAGCTACACAAATAAAGATTGGGGATACAGAATGGCTAGGAAAAAAAATCAATGTGTGACTACAACTGCTTGTACAACACTACTTTCACCCTAAAAAGAAAAAGAAAATTGGCTTCCCAACAGGCAAAGTTGTGATCTGTCAATAATGATTTTGCAAAAATAGTGAGAAGTTCAATCTATTTGAGTTCAAAACACACACGTTTCTCCCATGCCATAGTTGCTTCAAGTACAAAACAGGTAGCAACGATAATGTTTAACAGTAAATATGAGCGCAAATGGAAACACAAGCTTGCAATTAATTTTGCACTTGGTGGGGCATTTTGTGATAAGTGTTTTGAAGTCAAAATGATTTGAAGTCAAAAAATGTGCATACCCCTGTGCACATCTGTGATACTTTGACAATTACATCTACTGGACAAGCCAGAACAGTAACTGTTAAACTAATTGGCAAAGAACAACAATTTACCTAGGAAAAATATAAAACTAAGGAAACATAATATTCCTACAGCAGAATGTAAGAAGTTGCCTTACTACAGGTCAGGGTTAGACCACTAGTCCATCTAGTTCAGTATTACTTCAGGGATGGCAAAATCAGGATCTTCTGGTAGGTTTTTTTTGTCACAGAGTAACAAATGTTCTATAAACATTGCAACGACAAAATTACTTCCTCTCTCCACTGTAAAGCTGCTTGGGGCAACACAAAATCAATTCAGTTTTCACTCTCAGCAAATTCATGTGCTCAGGAGCTGTTCAAAGTCGTCATATTCTTTAATTCTAAATGCATACTTTATTTCTATGTTTTTGCATATCTTGCACCCAGTTCCAACTGGTGGATATGAGATTTTAAGACAGCACAAACAAATTCTGCAATGTTCAGATCTCTTCTCCTTTGGTCTATTCAGGTTGGCCATAGTTTCCAAGATCTCAGGCACAGTACTGATCCTTTTCAACTAGAAATTCATATGATTGACTCTGGAACCTTGTACATGAAAAAACAAAGACTTACCCCACTAGCAGTTCGGATGGGTTTTGCTTTCAACTTAGGAACCAGCACTTTGCGATACTGAGGGGGAACAGCAGCAATGATATCAACCAGGCGTGGCTGTGCAGAAAGGCCATACTTGGCAGCTGTCTTTGTTTTTATCCTGAAATTGAAAGCCATGCAACTCAGAGGCCATATAACAGGAATAGACAACCTGGTGCTCTTCAAATGATTTGGATTTCAACTCACATCAGTGAACACCAATGTGGCCTATGGCAAGAGACTATTAATGCTGTGGTCAATAATAACCAGAAAGCTTCAGGTTGCCTCTCTCTACTATGTATGCTTTTCTTTCAAAAACAATTACACTGGAGTATGCTAGAACAGATACAAAAAAGTTGGTACTGATTGGAGGGGAGAGCTCCAGCCCTATATCTCTGCCTTTGGGTGGTATCTTAGGATTTTATTCTCTGCCCAATCCCATTCATCATCTACATGAAGCCACTAGGTGAGGCTGTCCATTGGCAGAGGGTTCGATATCAATTACTGTACTTATCTAAACCCTGGGCTGGCCAAGTGATGCTGTTAAGCTTCTATTTCAGCATCTTGAGGCTGTGGAAGTCTGGATGGAGAGGAACAGATTTAAACTCAACCCTAGCAAGACTGAGTGGCTATGGATGGGTTGGCCCTGCTCCACACATGGGGTTGTTTGATAAGTTAATTCAAATTCGCTTCCTGAAAAAAATCCATCCCCTGGGCACTTTTACAAATAAAGCACTGGATTGCAGCTACTTAGCATTTTTGTTTACTAAAAGTCTCTCTGTGGCCTTTGCAAAATCTAAAGACTAACCTGTGTTCTTTTTCTTCACAGCAAACATACTTCCAAACAAAGAACTGGGCTGCAGCTGCGACATATATTGTTCTGCAAACTGCCACATGCACTGATGGTGTTTGATCTACATACAAAACTTCTACCAAATTTGTGGATTAAAGTGCTGTATAACTGATGTGGGCAAGTGTTGTTTGACACCAGAACTAAATACTGAAGAATAAATATAAGACACTACCTAATAAAGCATCAGACCAGGGTCTATCCAACCTAGTTTTGTCTATTATAACAAGCTCTTCAGAACTTCAGGTACAAACCTTTTACAGGGCTGTTACCCTGATCCAGGTCCAGGGTTCTTCTACATGTAAATTATAGCCTTTCCCATAACAGGTGGGGAAGATAAAGTAAAATGTTGAAAAGCAAAGAAGAAATAACAGGCAACTCACTTGTTTAAGTTCACATCTTTGCCCTGGTTATGGGCATCAATGAGCTGTTTGATGACATCTGCTATAGTCATCATCATCAGTTCTGCCCGGCTGAGATCTCCTAAAACAGAAGTAAAAGGTTGTGAGAGAATATGTGCAGAAGTCATTTCTCACATACAAATGTAAACTGACTTGTGCTCTGTCAAGCAGCATAGTTCCTTCTCTCAAAGCCCAAAGCCTATTCACCTGAGTCACAGAACACAAAGTGCTTTCAGTACTAACCAATGTGGCATCTGCACTGCTCTGCTGTAGATAATGTGTGAGAGTTGAGGAAATGCTGCCTTCAACTGTAGTACATACTGCAGAGGATGAAGTGAAAACAATCATATCTCCCCTGGTTAGCTTTCCTCAAGGATGTCTGAAGACTCCAAGAAGGAAGGTAATAGCGGAGGAGGTCCTGGAGGGGCTATATTTTTCCCTGAAGCAATAGGTTGTTCTTTTCTATGTGACAGTTATTCATCAGAATAATCATGGGTTGGAGGACATGACAATTAAGCAGATACCTAGCTTATTTGAAAATCATATTCAAAAAGCATTTATTAATGTTTTATCAAACTGAACTGAGATATTGAGTGGGGTACCGTGGTAGGGGCTCAATCTTGGACCCTATGTTCTTCAATACTTTCAGTAATGCCTTGGATGAGAAGATGCAGGAAACGCATATCAAATTTGAGGGGGTTAGGATAATACCTAGACGACAGAAAGGAAATTCAAAATGGCCTTGATATGTTATGATAAGTGGACCAAAAGTTACAGAATTAAGTTTAACAGAGGCAAGTGCAAAGTTCTTCACTTAGGGGGAAAAATCAAATGCAGAGATATAGCAAGGGGGATACTTCTTAGCAATGATGTTTGTGAAAAAGGCTATGGAATAGATTACAAACTAAACCAACAATGTGACTGGGCCACAAAAAATAAATAAATACATAAATAAATAAATAAAATGCAATTTTAGGCTGCATCAACATGACAGAAGTATAATTTCCAAACCATAGAAAGTAATTGTTCCATTTTGGTTTGGTCAGATCCCACCATCAATACTGTGTCCGGTTTGGGGCACCACATAATATGGATTAAGCCAAAGTGGAACAGGTTAGAGAAAAGCAACAAGGATGATCAGAAGATTAGAAACCAAGTAAGAAGACAGCCAGTTTGGCATAGTGGTTAAAGCACCAGGCTAGAAATTGGGAGACCAGAGTTCTAGTCCTGCTGTAGGGACAAAGCCAGCTGGGTGACCTTGGGCCAGTCACTCTCTCTCAGCCCTAAGAAGCAGGAAATGGCAACCCACTTTTGAAAATCTTGGCCAAGAAAACTGCAGAGACTTGTCCAGGCAGTCATCAGGAGTCAACATTGACTCAAACTGGCACACACACATACAGATTACGAAGACAGTCTGAAGGAACTGGGAAGAAACCTTGAGGGAAGAAACCTTGAGCAGAGAAGAGCAAGACAGGTTACGCTAGCATTGTTAAACACCTGAAAGGGGTCCCGCAGGTTCTCTACTGCCCCAGAGAGCAGGATATGGGATGGTAAGTGCACTTTGGCAATGGATACCAATTACCCAGAGAAGTGGTGGGTTCCCCTTCAGTGGTTGGTTCCCCTTCAGTGGATGTGTTCAGGTGAAAGACAGCCAGCCAGCCAGCCAGCCAGCCAGCCAGCCCTCTCTCTGGGATGCCTTAATCTGGATTCCTACAC